TTGCTCTTCTTGATGGCTATACTCTGGACCCTTTGGACAGGGCTGTACTTGACGTTCATTTAAGCCATATTTCACCTCTCTGGAAACAATGAAGTATAGATAGAAGATAGCACTGTGGAGAGGAGAGATACACACTTAACTGTGATTTTCCTGAGGTTTGTCAAGCTTTCACCCCCAATCTTCCCGCTAGAATAGAAGCCAGAGCTCTTTGTTGTAAGGTCAATTTCCACAATCCAAGAATAACCTATATCAGCTTCATTCTCTCAACTGGTCTTCCTGGGAGGCCTCTCTATACAAGGTCCTGGGAGGAACACATATTAGATTCCAAATGGAAATGGTAATAGGACAATTAGGCTACAAATTAGAGCTGGGAGGATATTATTCAGGCTCTGACACTCACAATTTATCTTAAATAATGTAAGGATAAACCAGAAAGTAGAGAACATGGGAATATTGGTGTTGGGGACTAGAATAGTAACCAAGTAACCAAGATACAAAGCAGATCTGATGACCAGGTAATTTGGTCACTTACTCATCAATGAGGAACTATTGCTGCCTTCTCTATCGCTCTACCATTATGGTCCTTCAATTATTCTGTTTCTACTTCTTTGCTGCTATCTTTTGTAGTCCTTCTAATCATAGCCGCTGTTTATTGCTTTTTTCTTTGCGTGTTTTTGGCTTCTGCCTGACCACCCCTTCCACGCCACTCACTCTCAAAGACCAAGCATTCTGTCGCTGTCTCACATTCAAACTCCCCAAGAAAGAAAATGTTTTCAATGTAGTTAATCCTTGTTATCTCTGTTGGGCAGAGCCACTGTGTCCAGCTATTCCCTAAACTCTAAGGCGGACACTTAGCAACAATGGGTCAGGTGCTATTTCTGTGATCCAATGGGATATTGTCAGAGTGATGGGATCACACAGCTATCTTTCAAATGGACGGTGCACATGGCAAATGCTCAGAGCAAAAAGAGTTCTGTTACAAAGGAGGTCTGAATGCCTTCTTCCACAATGAAGTACACAGGGATTGAAGTAGCTAGATGGACCTGGGTATAGATCCTGCTTCAGCCGTGATCCTGGTAAGTCACAATTCTTCTAGGCCCCAGCTTCCTTATTAGCAAAAAAGGAGATAGTATGCTTACCTCCTAAGGTAAAGTTATGTAAAATGCTTAGCAGTGTTTGGCACAGAGCCAGCACTCAACAAAATAGTCTATATTAACAGGCTTTCTCTCTGCACTTTTTCTGTATCTCCCATCCAGCATCATGATAACCACATGTTCCACCTTCTTGGCCCTGGGCATGATGCCCCTCCTCCTGCATGTTTACTCCAGGGGGATCCACGATGGGGACCTGAAGGACAAGGTACCCTATAGAGAAATTGTGTTATCGTTGGTCCTGATTCTCATTCCTTGCACCATAGGGATCTTCCTCAATGCCAAACGACCACAATATGTATGCTATATCATCAAGGTAAGAACCGGGATCTGGGCAGGGAGCAAAAAGACCACTATCATTTTAGTGAATAGCTTTGGGCTTTTTGGTTTCTTTCCTTGTTAAAAAAAAAAAAAAAAAGTCTACTACTAGGACACTTACTTCATGGGAATGTAATGTCCCTGAGAATACTTTTGAAAAGTTAGAAGGAAAATAGTAAAACACCATACACAACTATAAGATATAATCATTATATCAATAATAAAATTAAACTTTTATTATGTACCTACTAGATGCTAAATTTTATGCTACACTCTGAAGATTCGCTTTCCTCAAAGAGTTTGTTTGCAGAAATTGAAGTAACACATGAGGAAAAAGACCCAACACAGTATATACAATCAAGCACTGGCAGAATGCAAGGGGGTGAGGTTAGTGAGGGCCAGGTGGTCAAGGGATTTGCTCTGGGACTTCGTGTGCCTTGTACATGTGGTGGTGTAGAAGCCAGGCTGCTATGCTTCCAGGTACCTCCTCCATATGTGTAAGAACTGGATGCTGGTTAAGGACGCTTACTGTCATGATCCTCAGTTTACCCTGAAAGACAGGGATGGGAGGTGACTTGTGCAGACACTAGTTCCAAGGTTGGATCAGTAACACTGTGGACCTCGCTGCCTCCCAGGGAGCGCATTTTGGTTTTATATTTATCCCTCCTGCTTAAGTTCTCAGAGCACTGCATATACCCTTCTTTTGGACATCTGTACACTGTGTCTGAGGAATGGGTTTTGAGCCCCTGTCAATAGAAGCACTAGAGGCAGAAGCTAAGGGAGCTGTGAGGGGACCTGTCGGAATATCTTGTGATGAAGTAGAAACTTCTGGGAACCTGAATGGCTTCTGTCTCAACCTGGTCGAACTTCCTATGTCATCGTGGTAGGACCTGTGGGAATCCTTAGGTTGTTTCCATGTCTGTTGTCTCCATAGCCCCTGGCTCTGGTCTCTGCAGTGGGCTGGGTCAGCGGGAGCAGGTGAACTCCAGGAAGGCTTCCTAGAGGGGACGGTCTTAAACCAGACCATGAAGAAAGGATAGGATTTAGGTAAGCCTGAGGAGAAGTCTAGAGGAGTTCAGAAGGGGACCAAGGGCAAACCTGGCTGGCTAGACGAGAAGCCAGAGGGGAGGAGGTGATGGTGTACACTCCCAGCACTTCAGGAGTGGGTTAGGAGACTGGAGCCAGACTTCAGAGTGCTGTGGTCACAGACAGGGCATCATGGCACTGCCTTTCCTTTGGAAGAATCATGAAACCTTGAAGGGCAACTACTGTCCCTCTGCCAACTTCTGTGACCTTAGAGCTCAGTCCCTGTCAGTCTCCACTGGCTCACTGTTCATCACTGGTTCGCAGGAAAAACACTACCTCCTAACATTCTGAGGGCCCATTTCCATCCTGCCCCTGGATCTATGCCCTCGGGCCAGTCTAGAGCATGCTACTTGGAAGTCAAGGTGTGGCAGCAGCTTGGGGCCTCAAAGAAGCTGTGAGTCAGGTTTTCAGGATCACTTTATTTTCACACTACCATTGTTAAGGGCAGTTTTTCCTTGTCTGGGCCAGTCCTAATACTGTGGCAACAGCTTTCCTTCCCATGTGTTGGAAGACATGGACGTCATTCTTCCTCCTGTCCATGGCTAATCACCCCACACTGCTCTGGATGGCATTTTCCATTCTCTCCACCCTTGCCTCTCAGAGATCTCCTTTTATTGATCATGTTCCCTACCTCTGCAGCCTTCCCCATCTTACTTTCACTTCTAGAACAACTCTGTATTAGTTCTCCACAATCAGCATTGATACAGGTTCACATATCTCCTGTCTTTAAAAACAAAACAATCCCTCAGCTCCCACTCCAGCCAACCTCTCTTTCCTCCCCGCTTCCTAGCCATGCTTTGGAAAACACCCCTCCCCCCACACACTTCCTCCACACACTTTCCACTTCCACCACACAACCAACAGGCTGCTCTCACAAGTGACCAGGCCCATAACAATTATTCTCAGTTACGTGAACCCCTCTCTGCTCTTCTCCTTGGTCTCCCATCCAGTAAGCATCTTGATGACCACTTGCTCTACTTTCTTCACTAAGTCCAATGGACATTTTTTCAAGTCTTCCTTGACCATTTAGCAGCTTTTGGTATGGTTGACCACTGCCTCCTTCTCAGAAGCCTTCTCCCTCAGCTTCTGTGGCTAAGCACTCCTGCTTTACCTACTTCTCTGGGTGCTTTTTTGGACTCCCTTGGGACTTCCTCTGGTAAGTTACTTCTCTACACTCAGCTCAAGCTTTCTGCTTTTCCTTTCAAGCTTCCCTAAGCCCAGGATCTCCCCGACTGCAAGATCTAGTTCATCTCAACAAACATCTACAAGCTGAGATAAATTCCAGAACAGCATCTTCAGGCTTCAACTTCTCTCCCGACTCCAGAATCCATTTAACTAACAAATCTTTCTACATGAATATGCCTCAGGCATTTAAAACTCATTATGTCTTAAATTAAAATCATCTCCTCCCCAAGCCTGTTTCCCCCTTCTCCCCACCCTGCAATTATCTCAATGAATGGCATTCATTGTGCCCAACTGCCTGAGCCAGAAACTGGAAATTATTTTCAACATCCCCTCTCCCTCCCCAGTCACACAATTTGGTGATCATCAATCCTACCTGCTTTTGCTTGAATCCATCCATTCGTCCCCATCCTGTGTCCACTGTCGTCATTCAGGGCACTATCATCTCCACTAGACAACTGAAATAGCCTTTTAACCTGGCTCCCTGACCCAGTTTTAACATGAGGATGGAAAGCATAAACTCTATCATGCCACTCCACTCCTTAAAGCCCTTCATTGGTTCCTTTTTGTTCCCCAGGATAAAGTTTAAACTCCTTAAAATGACTCCTCAGTCCTTTGATTTGGTCTCAACTGACCTTTTCAATCTCAGCTCTTTTCTTTACACATGCCCTTCCCTCCAACTAAACACTCCCCTCTCCAAATCCCACCTCACTCACCACCTTTCACTGGACTCACACCTACTCACCCTTCACGGCTCAACACAAATAGTACCTCCTCTAGGAAGCTTTCCTAAACCCACAAGCCTGGGTAGAATGCTGGTCCTATTTACTCCCAAAGCACATACCACCAGTCCCTTGTAGCAGTGATCATGCTGTATTATATATACCTGTTTATTTTCTCCACTCACCTCGATCTCCTCAAGCAGCAAGATCCTAAGACTGTCTTAACACTGAATCCCCAGCACATATCACAGTTCCCCCATAGCCAAAGCCTGAGAATAAATAAAGGAATAAAGGCCAAATTCTGTCTTTCCCACATTAGAATACAGAAAAAAAACAGAAACGTGTTTGTGTTCATTTATCCAAGATAGTTTATAGGGGTATAGGAATAAAGAAAAAAAATTACAGAATATAAAAATTAAAGTGACCCCTGATATAATTTAATGCAACTCTGCCCTCCCTTTTATAGATGAGAAAACCAAAATCCAGAACTCCAAGTACAATTGATATAAGAACATATGCCTCTTTTTACCTCAGAATAACTGTCATTAAAAGTGTTCTCTGAGGATGCAGAATCTCAGATCTTAAAGTTGGACAGGACTTCAAGATGAAGTTCAGTCTCCTCATTTTATAGGTTGAATAACTAAGGCCCAGGGAAGTTACCTGGCAGAGCAAGGATTATCAATCAGTTTCCTGTTCCATTTATGTTGCACATCCACTGCTCAACTCCACAGCAAAAATCAAGTCAAACTGACCCCAAAGAATATTAAAGGGGCTAACATACACCTGGGCTGAAAAGATGAAGACCAGTAACAAAGAACCACATAAAAAGTGATCTACAAAACACAGATGTTCATTAGACCCAATCTGCCATGGCTAAACCTCCAAGGTTTACCAACCAGAGGCCAACGGCTCCATTTATCAAATACTCCCAAGCAGGAGTAACTCCCGCGAGGATGCACAAACATGTGGTCCCGATTTAAAGGCTGATGTTTCTTTGCTTTTGTGGCTCTTTGAGGGCTACATTCATCCTTCATCTCCGTTCCCTAAAACATAGTAAGTTACTAGCTGAAAAACAAGCCAACAATCAACCCAGCCTCTTTGCACACTTAACCCTCCTAGAGATTCTCAAATCAAAATTATCCAACTTCTGAAAACTGGCTCCAGTAGAAGGTACCTGCTCAAATTCTGCTCGACCAGTCACGTCCTCTAGTGGGAGGTCACATTTAGATATGCCAAGAAATTAGGAAGGCAGTGTGGGGTAGTGGTTAAGAGCCTGACCTCTGGAGCTAGATACGCCAAGAAACGATTTCGGGGATGCCCTATTTGGAAAGGCAATTCAAGTAACACTTTACCTAGCTCATGCGAGGGTTTGTTCAAGGCTATGTGGTTAAAAGGTTGATGAGAACCTGAGCTTGACATGACCCGGCAGCCACTTGGACCATAAGCCACCCAGCACTTTAACAAGGGTGCTGCTGTCACTGTCTTGACTCCAATGCTTTCCCCACACATGCTGCTGCTGAAACAAACCAATTCTCCCTTGCCACAAAGCTGCCAACTTGTAGTTTCTGCTGCTCCCAGGCGTGTCTTTTAACACTTCCATCTACTCCTGCTACCCTCTAATTCTGCAAACTCCCACCATAAGAGGACCTGACTAGTTGGGTCGTTCGTCAACATGCATAGGTCACCTTTGTGTGAAGAGTTTGGGCCAGGTCATCTCCTGGGTCAAGCCAACGGATTGGCTATCCATGGAAAGCTCATCACAGCTTCAATCAGGTAACGACAGGAAAGTCTGGTGGTGTGAAACATGGTCACCTATGGAGCAGCAGCTACCACCTATGGCCTCTTGTCTCAACAAGGGGTTGTGGACATGAGATTTTCACAACCAGCGGGACTGAGAGTGATAGGAAACTCTGGGATGTTAATTTCCTCTCCTTTATTTGTAATAGGAGGTACGATTTAGTGCGTAGTTCTTATATGCCAAGCCCTGTGCTGTTACCCTCACACTCAGTTAAGTGACTTACCAAAGTTTACACATCTTAAGACCAGCTAAGCCAGTTTTCACACCAGGGTCACACCAATGTCTGTGCTTATAAACACTCTACAGCCCCCCAAAAGCAGGAGAATGAAATGAGGAAATGAGAGTATATGCCCAGAGAAAGAGGGCTTCTGGATTCATGGCAATTCCTGTAGCCCAATGCCTCCTACATTACCCATTATACTCTTTTGATGGGGTCAAAAATGATTTGGTCATTAGGTAGAAGACAAATCCAAAAGGCAAGAGTCCAAAGGAGAAATCAGTTCAAAATGCAAACTGAGCAGCTCATCAGTTAAGTTTTTCAATAAAACTTGAAGCATGTGGTTACTGATGAGATTTGTGAAATTCCTTCCTATTCTGGGATAGGACCGCTAGTTGGTTGTTTTATATGACATTGGTTGGAACATAAGTTAAAAACATAGAATGCAGAACTGTGCAGCTGAAATTTGAGCAAATATTAAAATGTTACTAGACCACAATGAATGTAATTAGTGCCACTGACTTATACACTATAAAATGGTTAAAATGGCAACTTTTTGTTATATTTTACAATTTTTGAAAATGGTACTAAGAATATAAAATGTTACACGTGTGAATGAACTGAAAAACTGAACCCAAGACATATAATCTTGAAATAATATGGTAAGCTCAAAGAGAGTATGCTATATTTACCTTTACTCAAAAGATGAGACACAAAACCTTAAATTTGTGCATATATTTTCACTTTGGAGTGCATCATTCTCTAAAATTCAGACAGTAAAGGGCACTTTGAAAGCTTCAACCTTGTATCACATGCTGAAAAATCTTAACTGTAATTTCATTATAAATCTATTTTTGAAAATTTTAAATGGTATTTAAGATGAAACTAGAAAATTTTTTTTATATTGCTTTACTATTAACTTAATACTCACTCTCATACTATTAAAAGCAATATATGTTGCTTTCGCAGCATTTAATGTGGGACAGGCTGGACCTACATTGTTTCTGATGCCATTATAACTTCAAAATATTTCTGAAACTCCTTTTGGGAACTTCATATCCAATTTGCAGGTCATTCAAAAAAGTAGGCTTGTCTCTTTACAGTTAGTTATACATCATTTGGGCTCTAAAACCACTTTACCAGACTTGATTATCCAACTTGTTTACCAGCTTCACTTCAAATGACTCGATAACTTCCAGAAGTCAAAATGCATCCTAAAATGTATGACGTCCCTACCCATAATGAAAATACTTGAGACAAGTATGACAACCTAAGAATAACATCTAACAAGTTTCAAATCATCTGGAGCAATGGCAGTATTGCAGGGTTGTGTGTATACAAGCTCGAGTTAATGGCTTTGCAAAAGAACTTTCAATTTTCAAGATCCACCTTGCAAGACTGGTCTCATTCCCTCAGAATAACAGCCCTTCACGGAAATCTGCTTAACAAGAGATGTCAAACTGAAGCTGTGCATGGCTGTCCTTAGTAACAAGGGTTAATGAGGTTGCTGTCCTCCAAGAAGCTTGCTAGCTGATTAAGAATTCCAAAAAAAAAAAAAAAAAGGAAAATAAAGGTCTTTTTTCCCCCTTCCACTTCAAATACCAATTTTTTAAACTGTTTTCCACCTCCAATGCCCACTGCTGCTTCCTCGCCCACTGCCCTCCTTATCTCACATCACTCTTTTAATTGTCTTTTCTTCTTGTCCTCATTTGCAGGGAGGGAGGATCATCACTCTTCTGCTCAGCGTGGCCATCACAGCACTCTCTGCCATCAATGTGGGCAAGAGCATCCTGTTTGTCATGACACCCCGCCTGTGGGCCACCTCCTCCCTGATGCCTTTCATCGGCTTTCTACTGGGCTACATTCTCTCTGCTCTCTTCTACCTCAGTGGAGAGTAGGTATTACTTTAGGTCTGTCCCATGGGCCTCATTCTTGTCCTGGTCTCTCAGGAAAAGGAGATCTGACATCTGGGAAAGACATTTCCTAGCAATGTTCCAATGCATCAACTGAACATGGAACTCTGGACTGTGAGAAGTACTGGGAAGGGAAGGAAATGAATGGGTTAGAAACAAATCCAGAGACCAAAGGGATCTATTTCATCATCCAAAAAGCAACAACTCATGGCAAAGTGCTCCCTCCTGAGCCTAGATTCCATCTCCTGCCCAACTCTCAGGTAGCTAATGGCCCTGGCGTAGCTCCATGTCATCGTGACAATTGATAATATTCCTTTCCTACTTTTCCTCTTCTGCCTTGACAAGAACACCGTCAAGTGAAAGCTCTAAGGTGGCATTCAGAGCTAAAGTAGCTGTGGACTTGGCTAATCCAATTCACAAGCAGCTGCAACTTTAGAACAGATAACCTGAGAGCCTGCTGTGTGAATATCGGATACCCTGTCTGTACAGGGCCGTAGCACATTTCAGGAATCTTTTTTCAGCCATAGTAGACAAATGCTGATGCACAAGTCTACATATTAGTAGCACCCTAGACCATCCACCCAAGATCATACACCCAACCTCCCCCAAAACTAGTGTTTTATTAATACGATTTAAAAACAATTATTCATTTTTTAAAACATGCTGAGACAGAACAAATGACTATAGGGTGTATAACACATGGTGATACAGTAGAGTCCAAAGGACCACTCGATGTCAATTTTCTGCGTGATACCGATCTTAACAAATGGCCACAGCATTAAGCACAATCACAGCAGTCTTCTTCATTATGTGCTTAGACAGCTCTCTGGGGTTTCAGTGAATAACTATTTTAAGACACTAATTGCAATTCAATGAATTAAATACATGTTCACTAAATGGAAACATCCCATTCTTTAGCCCGTAAAATGGAAAGCAAAAGAAACCAAGAGAACATGTTCCAAAGATAGATAAATGGGGCTGAATTAAGTTGGGTTTCTTCCCCGTCATCATGTTGTGGAGTTAAAGGTGTCCAAGCCAGAAACGTGGAAATAGGACAAGGTCCCCAAACGTTTCAATCTTCTACTGTATGTTGAAATTTAATTGCCCTATATGTAAAGCCTGCCCCACATAACAAGCCCACGTTCCTCCAAATTTTAGTTTGGTAATCCTCTAAAAGCAGACAGATCGTAATTTCCAAGCTAGTCAAAGATGAGCTCATAGAAACTTCCTGACATGAATCTATAAGTCATCACCTTCCAGAAGGCTGGATTAGTGATTTTAGGAAATAGGTCAACTTTTTTCTTGAAACTACATGCACACCACATACCAGGCTCATTTCCGTCGTCCTTAAGACTGTTCAGTGCCTTAAAGAGTATCTGGGAGGGGGAGAGAGGCAAGTGAGGCTGCACACAGATGCCCCTTCTCAGGGAAGGGGTTGGTTTTTATATCCTACAGTTGCAGACGCATTGTCAGCATGGAGACTGGATGCCAAAATATTCAACTCTGCTCTACCATCCTCAATGTGACCTTGCCCCCTGAAGTCATCGGACCACTTTTCCTTTCCTCTCCTCTACATGATTTGCCAGGTTGCAGAAAGGTTTCTCCTGGTTGCCATGTTCCGGTGCTATGAGAAAATCAATCCTTCCAAGGGTGAGTAGTGAATTATTCCCCTTGGGAGATCTGCTTCCATATTAGAGAGTAAGCAAGTTTCTTTTGGGTGGGACTATAACTCTCATCAAGTCACCAGCAACGTTAACATTGGTAGGGACCTCAAAGAACTAAGGTTACTTCATTAACCGCATTCCATTTCATATGGAGTTTCTCATAGGACTGGGGTGATTCTGGCTTCTTTAACTAGGGAGACCATGTGTAGGGGCTCAGGATGAGGACTGAACTGTCCTGGTCATCAGATAGCTGTCAGGTATTAGTTTTGTGGAAGGCCCCTATTCACAAAAGTTCAAGAAGTTTGTACTTTAGAACAGGGTTCTCATGTCCTGGAACCATGTCAGAGCCCCAGTACCACTGGCATCCCTTCCCCCCCTATATAAGGAGAAATACTAACCCTTTTCCAACTTAGAATTAAAAGTGCAGCTCACTGCCAGCATTAACATCATACATACGAATGTTGCATTTCCTAGGATTTGACATTTCCAGTGATCAAGAATTACGCTATTTTGTAAATAGAAACATCACTACTAAAAACTATGCTATAAACAGAATGATGTCATTTGGTTCCAAAGGCTATCAGTATACTAGAGTGATGCAAAAATACTGGAGAGAAGATTAGGACTATAATCCATGAGTTATCTCAGGGTAAATGCTGTAGCCACAAGCACCACTGGTGAGTATTCTCAGGGTAAATGATAAATGGGTTAAAACAACACCATCTAATAACCCTGATTACAAAAAAGGTAGATTCCAAAACTCTGGTTACACAGTTCAAAATTTTTAACTTATTAAGTAGTAACTTTCACAATAATCTAGTGTGACATTATTTAAACCTTAATCTGATGACTACTGGATTAGTAACTTCCTAGCCAATTAGCACCTACTTTCCAAGAGGCTCACATCATTTCATTCTCTTCAAAATATAATCAAACCTTGAGAAAGCTGAGTCCTTTCCTCAAAGTGGACTTTAACCCCCTATTCTCTTTTCTCCCAAATCAGGAAACTCAACCTTAGTAACATATTTCAATATTTTATATTTTAAACATCAGTATATTCTTAATCGCTCCAATCTTTCACCTGCCTCTTATTTACCACAAACTTGAGGGTCCCTCAAGACCTTTTCAAGACCGTGGGGACTGATTTACACCCTAAAAGATACAACTTCCGCTGGTAGAATTCATCATCTTATAGCAGACAAACACAGATTTACAATCAGCTAATATGTAATGGTTATCAAGCAGCCAAAAACAAATAAAAAAAAAACAAAAACAAACAGTAAAAAGGTGACCATACTTCAGAATCATTTTATAAAGCTTTGGTTCAAAACTACAGCAGAGTTGTGAAAAACTTAAGTCCGATGCTTATCCAAGCAACTCGAGAAATCTGCTGCCCACTGAAGAATCCACCCGCTTACCAAAAAACTATGAAGGGGAAAGTTTATAAACCAACCAAACCAGGTTCCCAGGTTTGCAGCTTTAGTCACAGAAAGGTCTGGAGTGCCCTCACGGGGCCATAACTTTAATTCTGGGTCTTTAGCTCTTAAGACCTAAAAATAACTTCACTCACAATACACTTCAGAAGACCTCTTTAGCAAACAAAGTGAAAATTACTTACTCCTTTAGAGCTAATGAACCAACCATAAGCGCCCAAGCAGCAGTGCTCAGGGCAAAAACTGTCAAGTTTTTGTGATTTTGACACCTGTACCCTTCTACAGAGATGGGAGAATAGGAAAGGTAGACTGACTCCTATCTTCACAAATCCTCTCACCACATCCATGTAGCCAGGAAAAGTAGACTGAACAAAGAGGGGGAGGGGTAGACCTTCACCTTAAAAGACTTCCCCCTAAAATTCTTCCCTCTTGACCCAATACTCCCAGAATACAAGTCAACCTCGCTTAAACTCCTATTGTATTGCATGTACAAAAAACGAGATGAAATCGTGAAGTTAGTATTCTAACTTATTAGACCTTTTATTACCATTAGAGGTGTTGAGGGAAAGCAAGTATTTCCTCAGTTAAATCATAGATGAGAGAGGGTAGATAGAAAAAACAAAGCACATCCTAGGGATAAATTGGTATTCTTTTAATCTTCCAGATTGAGCAAGCTTTGTGTTAACTCCTTTCTCATTTTTTTTTCCTATAACCCTTTCCAATCTTACAGATAAAACAATCTACACAGCTGCCACAACTGAAGAAATTATTCCAGCAGCTCTGGAAAATAAAGAGGAGTGCTCCCCTGGCACAACCTAGCCTTCCCCCAGCGGCCTGGATTCAGATGAAAAGGCAATTCAGAGGGCCAGTGTGGTAAACCAGTGAGTGGAAAGACGTAAAGTAACACCAGCAGTGTCTGAGTCTTTCTCCAACATTTCCAGCAAAAAACTATCAGGATCATCAAAACTTGCCTGGAAGACAAAGAGTCTACCCTAAAACCCTCACCTATTCTCAGCTTAGAATTTGACACCTATTTGAAAAATAAGAGACTTATTCAATGACAACCCTAGGGAAGACAGGAACCAAAATTGCCTTTTGCCCCTGCATCTCACAGCGCCTGACAGGCATTTAAAAGGCACTCTATATCTGAATTTCCCAAAAAAATGTTTTCTTTTTAAATCTAAAATCAAATACCCAAATCCTGTTCCAAGTTTTATAACTAAATTAAGTGCTTAGAGAGCTATAGGAAAGTCCCTCCTAACCTTAAAAATTCAGATCCTATTCCTTCTCTTTAGACATCAATATTGGGATTAAAGCTCCTGAAAACACAAATGACACCAAGTATACAAAAGCCAACATGATAAAATGCAAAAGCAATTACACAAAACAATCCCTAAAGGAGGAAACTTTAACAAGGAAAATCCAGGGGACAAAAAACAAAATTACTTCACTAATCTAATAATCCTATCGGTTCATTAGATATCAATGGTTCACACCATTCTCCCTCAAAATTCAGAGTACAAAATATTGCCAAAATGAGTCATTTCTCAATTGAAAAAAAAAACTCAAATTAGAATTTTTTTCTCCAATGAAATTTAAACGTGCCGCACATCACTCACGAGCAAAGTATTAGGTGAAAGATTAAATAACTAATTTTAACACTTGCAAACACCTGACCATGCCTAATTTTTTTTTTTCACGTCATTTAATACAATTAGGTACAACTCAAACCAAAACAATTTAAGGGCATCAGTCTGGCATATGTCCAGGATTACCAGTATTCCCAGTGCCAGAGCAATTCTAAGAATCACTGATTTGGGCCATTAACAAACACTCTATTAAAAATGCAGATTTGTGGAAGGTCTACCATTTATTATTTTTACATATTATTATATCCATATTGACATACCTGTTCAAATTTTCTCTAATATCTAGCTGATAACATCTGCTAGGAAACTTGGTTAAGGTACAACAAAGTAATATAAACACAAGTTTAGCTTTTTGAGGAAAGGAAGGTTGGACTTTGTATTATCCTCAGTGAAAAAGGTGGAGGGGAATATGGTCAATAATATTTTAAGTCTGCATGACAGATGATTGCTAGACAGTGTGACTACGACATTGCAAAGATGTACCAAATCACTTTTCGCACATCTAAAAACTAATGTAGCATTGTACACCAACTATAAATTTTTTAAATATGTATCACTAAAAAAATGAACTTCTAACCTCGAACCTTCCTTAGTTACTAGGTGAAAGGAATGTATAAATACAGAGCACAAAAGTTGCACTCTCCTCCGTAAAGGCTTGTCTTAAAACTTTGCTTAGGCTTACACCCATATTCCTTACGAGGTCTTGGATCTGGGAATTTAGGCTAACTTGTTGGTTCAAACCAACTCCCAATCATCTCTACCATTTGTTCAAAAGAAGGGTCTTATTTTTATTGCCTCACTGTTTAACAAACTTTTGTAATATTAGAATGGTAAGCCTCATATATTTTAAGAGTAAAAAAAAGAGTACGAAAAGTTTTTAGAAAGTCTACTGGTACTAAGTACATATATCGTTAACACATTTTTAAAGCCCAAAGAGAAAAGAATTGCTTCTCTCAATTTGATAGCAATTTTCTTGGCTCATCTGTACAGCCTTCAGAGATACACTGCAAAGATAAAACTAGATTCTGCCATTTTAAATAATGCCAGTGCCCTCCAAGTAGTATACCACATAAACTCTCCCTTAAAATTAGCCTCATGTTGAAGGATCTTCACAATTTTATGGCCCGAGTTCTAGTCTTCAACACAGGGGGAGGTAGCCTTCATGCCAATACTTTAAATCTACCTCCAAATATCCCCCCACCCCAAAACTGATCCCCACACTCTGGGGAAACCAAAATACACTTTCTAGTGTTCCTCAAAATCCCTTGCATGGCTTCTAGAGCAGGTATGTCTACACTAAAAAGTGTGGCTTTGAGATTCTGAAACTAGACTTTGGAAATGCCAGTCCACCATTTACTTCCTCTTCTCTTTGGCCCTGAATTTCCTTCAGTAAAATATCATACAGTAAAAAGTTTTGAAGATTCAGTGAATGTCATTCAATCGCCAAATATTTATCTACCCTAACACTAAATAGAGAACAAGTCTAATCAGTCTCCAAAATTTCTAGTAAAAAATAAAGCTAATTTCCTGCAGGGAAAGGGCTCTAATACTTAACAAAGATGGATGTAGAACCGTAAGCAGTTTTCGCTTTTGTTTTCCCCTTAACATATGTTGTCACGTCTACATCTCAGGACTAAAAGGAGAAGCACGTGAAATCCCTTTAAAGCATTCATGTGCATGGATTAAAAAAAAACCTATGTGATGATCTCTGACCATCGAAACTTCACAACCTTTAAGATAGTCATGAAACATTACCTCTTACAAAAGGAACCTGATGCCAGAAGAATAAAGTTAGGTGATGAAGGGAAGCTGCACGGGTCACATACGAGGAAAACTGTCATAAACAGTGAGCCATCGTTTCGAACAGTTCACTGACCTTTGCCCATCTTTTAAGTAGCCTGAAAATGTCAAAGGTACTATTTAAATTTTTAAAAATAAAAAAAGAACCCAACCAAACTTCAGGATTCTCTACAAGGAATTTTGAATGTGAACGTAGATGAGGAAGAGCATACTTACTTCAGACAGACACAGAAAAGCAGTTTTATCATCTTTTATTATCAATAACAAACAGCTGCTTTAACGTCTTTGCCAAGCAGCTGTTAAAGGGTAGGTGGGAGGACACCCTTGACCCTAACAAGGAAAACTCAGTAAGCCTCTATGTACAAGCAAATTTAGAGCTCTTTTAAGTATCCAAAGCTATTAATTAGTTTAATTGAGGCATTAAACTAATTCTTAATTAACATATTTGAATAACCAGGCACTAAAATGTTCAAATTTTTGCTAGTACAAAAAAATTAAATTCGCTTTAGTTATAAAAGAGCTCTGTCAATATACACAAACTATATACTTCAGACATTCACAAAAATGTGAGAAGAAGGCTTATCAAAAGACAATTTAATACAATTAGTTTTCAACAACCCCCTGGTGGTCCACATCTACAAAGATAATCCAGCCCAACCCAACCCCCCTCCAAATTCCACCCCCCTTCTCCCCAGAAAAGCACATACTTACCAGAATTTTTAGCAAGTATGGTTTGGGAATTTTTGTGTGTTTTTTAAAAAAGGCCCCCAGGGCAAGTTATTCACAGTTTAATTGCCACTGTCAACTGATCTGGACCTGGACCGGGACCGAGACCTGGACCTCTGGCGATCCACAGATGCTGGAGACTTAGATCTACTTGAAGAACCACGTTTCTGGCTCTTCTCAGGTGCAGGAGACCTACTAACAGAACGGGACTTGCTCCGGCTCCGGCTCCTGCTCCTAGACCGGCTGTAAGACTTGCGACTCCGAGAGCGAGATCGGCTACGAGACCTAGAGGAACTCCTGGTCCGGGAACGAGACCTGCTTCGTGACCTACTAGAAAGGGGAAAAACAAAACAACAAACATAAGTGGCAGGCCCTACAAATCCATTAAATAAAAGATCTGACTGGAAAATATTAAAGAGATACCTGTGCCTTTTGCTGCCTTCAATTAATTTAATTTTTCTCCCATTTATTTCCTTTCCAGAAAGTTTTTCAATAGCATTCTTTAAATCACCATAAGAGGCGAACTCAACCACCCTACAAAAAAAAAGTTTTTCAAAGTTATATACATCTTATAATCTCACAAACTATCAAAATCTAGACTAAGTGCCTTCTCTATCCTCATTTTGCTATTGCCGTATCAAGAATGTTAACTCTCGATGGATAACGCATTAGAGCAAGGTTTCCCAACCTTCAAACTGCTAACATTTTAAGCCAGACAATTCTTTGCTGGGGGGGGGGGGGGGTTTTTTTCCTGTGTATTGTAGAATTTTGAGCAGCACCCCTGGCCTACTATATCCACAAGATGCCAGCAACACCCTCAACCAGTTACGACAACTAAAAAGGTCTCCAGACATTGCCAATAACCCCTGGGAAACAAACTCATCCCTGATTGAGAACCAATGCATTTAAGTATGTGCAGACTTTAAGTACTCAAAAACAGTAAAATTTCCAAGATATTTCAAAAGGCTCTTAGAATCTTCAGTACATACTCACCCTTCATTTAATTTAGGTCGATGTGCATCCGCAAAGGTTACTTCCCCAGCTTGTCTCATGAAATCTTTAAGATCCTTAACACAAGATAATTGTGTTAAGCGAAGAAAAGGAAACTTGACACACAAACAACTACATGGTATAAAAACAAGACTACTGAAAGAGAAGATGTTAGATAAAGTACAAACATGGCATTTACCACACTTGTATTCTATCAGAATTCAAAATTTATCTCAGGGCACGAAATAAGCAAATAGCATATTGCTTTTAAGCAAAATGCTAAAAGAAATCAGATTTTAGCATTAAGTAGTATTAGTCTATACTAAGCTCAATACGAAAGAAAAACAAAAAACAAAACAAAAACAAAACAAAAAGAAACAGTACATATTTTAAAAGACTAAAGTAGAAATTTTATATTTAAAAACAGAACATTTACAAGACACCAGTTATTTTGTGCCCCATATGTCATTAAAAAAGTTTACTTTACCTTTATCATTATTTCCCTAGGCTAGTCAAGCAGCAAACCGTTAATCGGTCGAAGAAACCTTCATGACATATGCCCGACTGGCTCTTCGCCACCCACTTGAAGGACACTACCCAATCGATGGAAGCCTTTAATCGCACAGCCCTCCCTATTAGCAGACTATTGGCGAT